GAAGCCTTGGCTCGAATTTGAGGATTCCTATTCTTAAGGTAAGGTTGCAACTTTGGCAACAACAAAATGTGGGGAATGTTTTGTATTTGCTTCTCCGTCTCTCTGATCTTCGTGTATCTATGTGAGAACATCTTGTGGAAATGAATTCACATTTCATGTTGAACGATGACATTGGCTACGTCAAACATAAGACTGCTAAAAAGAAGAATGATTTGGTTAATCTTGATGATCAAGAGGTATTATGTAATGGTGAGCAACTGGAAGATCAGAGATTGATTAATGATATTTGTAAAAACAATGATGCTGTGATTCACTTTCTTGTCCAGAAATCTACTGAAATTAGGATTAAAAATGTTGACAAAAACTTTGAGCTGTCTGTTATCGCATCAGACTCATCATAGTTGAATGATCCAATAGTTAATGAAGTGAATAGAGGAATTGAGAGTGAGTCTGAGATCGACAACAACTTTGTTGTACCTAGAAAAGCCTCCTGGTGCAAATTTTTGGGTAAAACCTGTGATTGTTAATCCAAAAATTAAAATACCTTTGGCTATTTGGAATTTGATTAACCCTACTTCTAAAGGGTTAGATAGAGTGAACTTATCCAATCTGGAGAAGCATATATAATGCTGGATGCATCATGTGGAAATATATATATATATAATATGTATTTAACTTTTAATAAAGATTTAACTATAAAACCATGTCGGGACTTGGCACGGGAAACTTATCTGATTAAAGACCCATCACCATGTGGGTGTTGAGTTGTGGTTACGTGTTGGCCGGATCTACACCCTTCGATAGATCCTTCGACTATGTGAGGAACACGGCGTGTTGGGTTGTCGGAGAATCCTTTTGGACACCTGCGCTTGTTGTGCAGAGATAGATCTGGTCATGTGTGGAACACGACCTTCGGACGTCTGAAAAGGGTTGGATTCAAATCCATACTCTCCTTCGACATTGTCACGTTGCTGGCCTTGGAGATTTTAATTTGAAGTGTTGTAACTTTGGTGGGGATATATTTTTATACGATTCCCACAGACGGCGCCAAAGTGTAGGTGCAAAATTTCGCCCAACCAATAATGATTGAGAAAAATAAAACAACTCACTCAAAAACAATAAAAATAGATAAGAACAGTGTGTAGAGAAGCGTAGAATTGTTTGATCCCTTTATTGGAGGTCTAGACCTCTATTTATATACAAAAGATTGTAAAATTATGGTAGAACTCGCGTTGCTTGTCCTTCAATTCTTTCTATATAAACATTCTTTACTAATAGAGTTCTTTCCATTATCTAAATTTCCATACATAGAACTTGCCTTGTACAGAACTTCCTATCTCAGAATTTTCCTTCTACGGTAAATCCTTCAATTGGTAGGACTTGTGCATTCTTGAGTAACTGGGCTGAACATACTTTGATCCAGCTGGGCTTGAGTAACGGACCGGATGTTAAATATTAACATGTTGGGCTGATAATCTCTTAATTCGGGCTTCAACAGGGCTGAAGGTCATATAACAATAGTACTGGGCTTGTGAACAATGATCTTGGACTAGTATCAAACTCAATTTGGGTTTGAGCGAGGTGGGCTTTATAAACTTATCAATGATATGTTTATATCTATGATGACGTGGATTATTCTCATTTGGAGGGGATTTTTTCCCTCCACATGGACTGTTGAACATTCTGTGCTTTCATTCTTGAATGCATGATTTAATATTCTAATTTGGTTTCATAATTTTCAAAAGAAATGGAATAAGAATTTGCTAGTCCAAGTATGTGTGCCACGACTATTTTCAATAATGTTCACTACCAGAAACTGGAAGCGACATGTCTTCACCATCTCCACATATCAGCAATATCTATTGTCCATGATTAGTACAGATCACTTGTGGTGTTTCCCATTTCACCTTAGCAAATTTAAACCAATCCAAATATGACTGTGCAGTAGAAATCATGAATGAAAATCACCCAAGTGCACAATATCAGCATTTTCAATAACCTCTCAAATGGACTCTCAAATTCAAAATATAGCAGTTGGATGAAAATAAGAAACTCTAATAACCTCTAAAAAGACCTCTCATATTTTGAGATTCTCAAGTCCAATAACCTCTCAAATGTATTAATCTCTCAAACTCAAAATATAGCAAGTAGATGAAAATAGGTGAGCTCTCTCAAAAGATCTCTCATATTTTGTGATTGTCAAAAGTTGCTAAAATGAAAATAAGATACTTTAATATGCTTTTAAAACATGGAATGGTTATTGTCTCAAAAAATAACATTTTGAATGAAATGCACAATTGGAGTAGAATTGCAAAAATATTTCATTTTTACACTAGTTTTTCTCAAAATATAAATTTGACATGAAAATATAACATTTTGCAATGGATATTCAATTGACAAAACTATAAGCTTATATCATATGTCTTTCATAAAAGAAAATAACAATTAATGTCGTCTATTCCATATACCCAAAAACAAGAATTTGAGTCCTTTCCGTTTTCCTGCTTCATTTTCCTATTAAGGGACATTATCAAATGACAGACTTTGATCCCAATAATCAAGAAAATCAGCTTAGAAATTGCTAGCATGCCTTCTTTATTTTCCTTATATATGCAATAAAGACCGCTTAATAAATCATTTGAAAGAATGAAAAGAAATTGAAGCAAAACTAGCTAAAAAGAAACACGAAATCATTACAGAACAAATTATTCCAAATCCCCTTAAATGGCAATGGGGTTGCCATTTCACTTATGAATGAGTACACACAATACATGTTACCTACCCATCACAAATACTAATAGCGTCATAAACATATCAAATTTACTATGTCACTCTGCTTCAGAAATAACTTCTAACTCTCTATCAAAAGCTTTTGCAGGCATGGTTGTTCTATTCATTTGAGCTGTTGAAGCAAAAGGACTTGGGGGCATGGTCAGACCATCTCCTTCCCCTTCCAGCATTTGTACTACAGTGTTCATGGCAGGACGATCCACCGGGTACCACTGAATGCACCACAACCCAACAATAGTCAATTTCTTAGCTATCTTGGCATCTTCCTCTTCTTCAATGTGCATCACTAGCTCTTCTCCTTCACGCAAGCGATTATAAATCCATTGTGGGAAGTATGTTTGGCTGGAATCCTCTACTGTAGCATCACCCTTCTTCCTCACACCCACCATATCAAGTAGTAACATCTCGAAGCTATAAACATCCGATTTATACGACACATTTCCAAAATTCCTAGAAAAAACTTCAGGGGCAATATAGCCTACGGTCCCTCTGGCTGCTGTCATAGAAACTGCACTTTTTTCCTTGGAACACAACTTTGCTAGCCCAAAATCTGAGACTTTTGGATTGAAGTTGTGGTCTAGCAAGATATTATGAGGCTTAATATCAAAATGAAGTATTCGTTGATCACACCCTTGGTGAAGATATTCAATTCCCTTGGCTACGCCTAGAGCAATATCTTGCAGCTTCACCCAACCAAGTGAATGTTTTTTGTGTTTTTCAGTAAACAGGAACTTTTGTAATGAATCATTTGGTAAGAACTCATAAACAAGTGCTGGTTTGAATCCATCTGCACAGAACCCCACTAGGCCAACAACATTGACGTGGTGGATTCTGCCTATTGTTCCCACTTCATTAATGAAATCTTCCCCTTTCCCTGTGGAATTGTCAAGGACCTTAACAGCAACAAGAATTTCATTGGAAAGTTTTCCTTTGAATACAGTTCCGTAACCTCCTTGTCCTAGTTTCTCCTCAAATTGATTTGTGATCTTCTTAATATCAGCATAAGAGTATCTTGTAGGCTTGAGAGCTCTATAGTTCTCCAAAAACTTTTCAATCTTTACTTGGTTCTCTTTCTCCATTTTATTCATGGTATGGAAACGATAGAGTAGAATTGCAACCACCACAAGAAAAAAGGGACCTAAGACTGAACCTGCTCGTGAACAAACCAGAGTTTAAAACCCTTTTCAATAGTCCACAGTTCCGTAACAAATGAATGATAAATAGACAACTTCACCTCTAATTAATAGCATTGCTGTTGATGATACACCTGTAAAAGATAACAAAATAATTAATTCATCATGTTCATGAAATAAATAAAGTCATAATAAAACTTTTGTCCATTTCAAAAAAAAAAAAAAAAAAAAAAAAAGATACAAGAAGTAATTAGTTTTCGTGTCTACAAGCACCCTGTGCAGAAGAATTGCAGTAGAAAGTTTTTAAATGCCAATATGCCATAAATTTTCTCCCCCTAGATTTTATATCAAAATGGGTAGAAGAAATATAAGAAATGCTTGATGTCGGGGTTTCAGCCATGGTTAAAAGTATTAATGTTGTATTTTACAATTAAGGATTTTTGGCTCTGTTTGGGGTTGGAGCAAGAGAGATAAGGAAGGCCGGAGGCCGGAGTTATTACCATTGCACGAAACAATGATATATATCACAAATCTTTTTAATCATGATCTAAATTAGTATTGTTTTGATGGAAAACAATAGGTGATGGAATTGAAACCACCAGACCAACACAACACTTAATTAGTATATTAATTTTTTAAGTCCATCAATGACAACGAGATAGACTAGACAGAAAGAAAGAAACTTGATAGTGCTAAAAATCCAGTCTTTGTTTTTCCCTCCTCATTTTCTAAAATGAAATCAATAAAACCCTAAACGAACAATTCAAGAATGAAGTTTCACATGGCAGCATTGACCCAAATGTATTCAACTTACGTGATGCTAATAATATAATTGAACAAAAGTTTAAAATTTTCAAACAATTTTAACTTTCAAATCAATCCATTAATAACATGTGACAAGATTGTTAGTTTTTATATGGTTTGATTGTAAACATACCTTCGGATTCTTTTGAACATTGAATTTCATGTCCCACTGTGTAGTTCTTGAAGCTACAAATCTTGCCTTGTGATTCACATTTCCCACAATTTGGTGTGGACCAATTGAGTTGAACTCTAAAGTTTTGGCTTAAAATGTCGTTAAGGAACGGAGGAAATATTAGCAATCTTGAAGCAAGATGTCAAGGAATAGTCATCTATTTCCCGGGAGGAATCAACGGCATAAACATGGTAGCCAGGGACATCAAGGCAAGGGACCGAGTACCCTCGATCCCTATCTGGTGCAGAGCAATTGAATAAGACAAAGTCATACAGGTAGGAATCATGCTGGAAGTGGAAAGGAGAGACAGGGAGGCTGAGGTTGGCAAGGCAGCTTTTTGTATCATCATCATATATATGTATGAGTTGAGATTTATAATCAATTTTGTTAACCAATACCTTCACTGAAAAGGGAAGCTCCAGCACTGTTTGGTTGTTGTTGTTGCAAGATAGCTCGAACCTGGGATAGCCACAGTAGTCTGGCTGCCGGTCTTTGATCTTGAATGGGAACCTAATGGCGGGGCCGTAATCACTGCACCTTGATACACTGCACGGGGCATGGCCTCCTCCAAGCTTTGCTAAGACTAAGAGTAGCAATGAAAAGGAGGAAAAGAGTATATTGATGGCCATTTCAATCTCAATAGCCTACCATTTCAGCCTCCATCTCTCTTAAGGTGGATTATATTAAGTTCAGTTTCTCTAATTCTCTCTTCTAATTTTCTCTCCCAAGGTTCCAATATTCCCGCTCAACCATGACCGGCTAGGATGAGGTATTCATGGTCTGTTCTATAGGAATTGAGGCTTAATGCCAAAACTCTAAATTAAACCATTTATTAATATTTGATACAATTTACACTCCTTTTTTAATAAAAAGAAAATAATTACACTCCACACTATTCTTTTTATCTCAAAAAAAATAATAATAGAGTCTTTAAACCGATCCTTTCATATTTTATAATACTATAAATACTCTTTATGCTATGAAGTTTAATCATTTTATTTTTTTTAACCTTCTTTTATTATTTTTGTACGTTTTCTCACTCTTATTCCATTTGATTTCTTAAATCCACATGATGTTTGGCTAATGAGAAATTTAGCTTAGAAGTTTTTTTTTTTTTTTTTCTTTTTTCTTAATAGAAGATGTTTTTATCCATTTGATTGTGTCCTAGTATTAAATTTCTAGCGGCCTACCCTTTTTGCATTCACACTTAATTTTGGAATTTGTTTACATCATTGTTTTTCAATAAATAATAAATAAATACATTATGTCGCTTTCTGATGTCAATTCATTGGACTTTTCTCCAATTTTTAAGAGTGCAGATCGTTGATGCTAGTTTTGAATTTTCCAATGATAAATGATAGTTTCTTTTTTTATTTTTTATTTATTATTTTGAAAGATACAGAAAAAATGTACATGGAGACCCAATGAGTGGAATGGGCCAAAGGCCACAAACCTGAGTTAACTCAAGAGTTACCCAAAAAGTACTAAGTGAAAAGCCCAAACAAACCCACAGTTGTAAACAAGGTACAAGCCCAACAGCTTAACCAAAAGCATCAAAAACCACTGAAAATATTTGGTAGTTCTCACAGAGAAAAATCAGTCCTCTAAAATTTACAAAGATTATCCATGGTATTTTTACAAGACGAGGACTAGAGCTATATTAAGAAATTCATTAATTTTCTATAAATGTGAAACTAAATCAAGAATTCGTCATTACCCAATAACTATTTACAATATATAATTGACATCTTATAACAATAAGACGAAGGCTAGAGCTATATTAAGAAATTCATTAATTTTCTATAAATGTGAAACTAAATCAAGAATTCGTCATTACCCAATAACTATTTACAATATATAATTGACATCTTATAACAATAAGACGAAGGCTAGAGCTATATTAAGAAATTCATTAATTTTCTATAAATGTGAAACTAAATCAAGAATTCGTCATTACCCAATAACTATTTACAATATATAATTGACATCTAACAACAACAACAACAATTTACAATATATAATTGACATCTAATAACAACAACAACAACAACAACAACAACTAAATCAAGAATTCGTCATTACCCAATAACTATTTACAATATATAATTGACATCTAACAACAACAACAACAACAACAATAATAATAATAATGTTGTTTGATTCTCCTTGAAAAGACTTTAGTAAAAAATTAAAAATGATTAGAAACAAAATTGAGAAAAAAAAAAAAAAAAAAAAAAAATTTAATTGAAGAACCAAATGTCTGAAGAAATAGGTCTCTAACTTTGACAATTTCTTAACTGTTTATCCTTAAGTACTTAGATTGAGGAAGTAAACAACGAAAAAAAAAATGTTTAAAAATTTGTAGTATATAGGGTAATTATAGTAGGTGATGCTTTAATAAGTTTATGACCTTCTTCCCTATGAAATACCAAATGAAAGTGGAAGAACAGAGATTGGAGACTACTTCTCCGAATCACAGTCGAAAATGGCGCTACGTCAACCTCCGCAATGAAGCTTTGGTCACAGGTTTGTGTTTAATAGACTCTGGTTCTTCAATCAATAGGATCAAACCTAGAGGTCAGATACTCATTCTAAGAATCTGCTGCTACATTAATCTCTAGAATTATGGAAGGTATGATGAAGTTTATGAGAGTGTTAATCCACCATCCAAACAAAACACTAAACATTATTTATTATTTATTTATTTTTTTATTTGTTTGACTAAATTATTCTTGAAAGGTAACTTGCTAACAATTAAATTTTAAAAAGGAGAATTATTCATCTTTTATTGTCTTTGTGATCACATTAAAGTAATTTTTTTGAATTTGAAAATTTAATATTTTTTTTAAAAAAATAAAATTTGTGGAGCTTTGTCTTCAAAATAAGATCTTAAATACTATATTAACGCCTTTAGATAAGTTTTTTTATTTTTTTCCTTATTTTTTTATATTGGTAAAAAATTCACATCCATTTTGTTATAATATGGACTCAAGACCTTAACACTCTTTTTTGAAAGGTTGAGGAGATATGGATGGAGTCTATTCAATAACTAATTAATATGATGGTGAGGATTTTTTATTTTTACATTTATTTTAAAAAAATTTATATTTTAATCGAAGTATTTGAACATAACTTTGACAAAATCTACCTGGCCTGTCCAGCTAGATCACTTCACCGAAAAAGAAGCAAGAAGTGGGTCTATCTGTTGGTTTGTCGGCGCCGAAGACTTTCCTCTCCCTCTCTCTCCTTTCTTTCTTTTTTTCATTCTATTTCTCTCTCAAATATCTCACTCACCGGGAAGTGGGTCGATCTGTTCCGAAGCTGGTTCGTCGGCGCCGAAGACTACTTCCTTCTCTTTCTCTCTCTTCTCTTTCTTTTTTTCATTCTATTTCTCTATTTGATATCTTACTCACCCGGAAAAGAGAAGTGGGTCTGTTCTGAAGGTAGTTTGTCAGCGCCGATTGAGTATTGTACTTCGATTTAGCAGCCATCTGACCTAAATCTATGAAATATTCAGTTGGTGTTGCGTTTTCCGGCCGTCGGAAAGTTTACCTTTGGTTGGGTCTTTTTGAAACTCACCGGAAATTTGTATACGAAAGTCGCCAATTGGATACTGTAGTTCGATTCAGCATCCCTGGACCTAAATATATGAAATCTCTAGTTGGTGTTGCGTTTGCCGTTTACACGACCCCTCTAACCACCAATTATCCTCTGGATTTACCTTTATTCTACTGTATGATTATGAAATTCAGACTAACAAGTTCCCACTATCACCAGAAGAAAGAAAGATAAGGAAATCTAATGAGGAGGCATATATTGTTTCTACTTTTATTTTATTTATTTTTTCTTTATTTAATTGTTAAAATTACTTACCTGACTCTCACGTGTATTCTGTCAAATTAATTTGTCAAGTTGGTGTTGCATTTGCCGTTTACACGACCCCTCTAACCACCAATTATCCTCTGGATTTACCTTTATTCTACTGTATGATTATGAAATTCAGACTAACAAGTTCCCACTATCACCAGAAGAAAGAAAGATAAGGAAATCTAATGAGGAGGCATATATTGTTTCTACTTTTATTTTTATTTATTTTTTCTTTATTTAATTGTTAAAATTACTTACCTGACTTTCAGGTGTATTCTGTCAAATTAATTTGTCAAAATCATGGATCTATCTATCACGACCCATGAATATGTATCTTATCAATTAGTACATCAAAGAGATATTAATCTTTAAACTAGACAAATTTGCCTTCCCCTTTTTTTTTTTCACTTTCAAGTCACATGTAGAAGGTTTTCTTAGCTCAAAAAAAAGAAATAATTAGAGGGATTTTTGGAGTAAGATAATTTGAGAGGGCAGGCGGCATGATGTAAAATTATTTACAGTCATAGAAATGAAAAATTAATAATAATAAAATTAATGAGCCAGCTTGGGCGGGGCAGCTAAAAATTAATAGTGGTGTGCTTTTTCTTCTTCTTGCACAATTAAACATCTTTTTTTTTTTTTTTTATCAATGACTTTGACTAATTCTCAAACAAGGTTCTACCTCCACTGCCGTTATTAACCAAATTTACTAGTATCGAACATTTTTAGTGGGCTTAGCATTGCAAGTTGCCTGAAATGACCGGAAACGAATGCTATAAAAGTGTTGGCACCAAAACTTGGCAGCCACTTCAGGGACCAGTGAGGAGGGGACCAGTGAGGAGCTGACAAATGTGCAATATGATTCCAAGAAGAATCGGCCAATTGAAAAACAAGAAGAGAAAATCTAAGAATTCAGCCACCTTACCCAATAAGGTTGTTGTTGAAATCTTGCTAATTAATATTTGAATTAATTCAAATATGTTATTTGAAAAGGAAAGACTCAGAAGATTTAGTTACAACAAATAACTAAATCTCTACGAGGTAGGAATTTAGTTGAAGAAGGAAATTAAATCCCTATGAAATAGGAATTCAATGAAGGGGCAGCGGCGTGAATATATGGGTAAAAGTTACAAAAGGTTATTCAGGCCATTTAAGGAAAATACATCCGTCGAGCCTATGGAAGGAAGTTGCTAATTTAGCAACTTGTCAGCAACTTTTTAGCAACTAGCATGGACTAAATCAAAGGGATTCTTCGGCAAAGTATCTTCAACTAAAGCAAAAAAAGAAAGGAAAATTCAAAGACGAAGCAATACGTAAAAGGAATACTGAAGCATGACTTTGTTTGAGTAACAAAGTGAAGAAAATCAAGGGTAGCGAGATATTTTAGCAAGAAATAAAGATAAATGAGTTGATTTATAACTTCTATAAATAGAAGTCTTGTAATCTATTCCAATTTGTCCAGCACCAACCACAAATCTGCATGAATCAAAAATTCATCAAATAACTCTACGTCATCTTTATCTTCAATTCATTTTGTCCAAATGGCAAATTTCATTCGAAGAATATGAGTTCCAGTAACTTATCGTTCTTTTTGCAGTGTCTAGTTATACTATTTACATTATCATTCATTGTTCAACGCAATAAATTTAAATAACAAATCTTTGATCAAATTCATGTCACTTTAATTTGGCCAGTATTTCATTCCAAAATGTCATTATTTTCTATGTAATTTTCATTCAGCCATTTTCTTTATTGTCATTTC